ATATAGCTTTATATACATGCAATGGTTATTGGGGAGAAACAGGAGGGAGTTTGCATGAGCCTGTAGTTTATGGGGATTCATGAGTGTGGCAGAGGGCGTAGAGGACAAGGTCCCAAATACAATATGGCTTTGGTGGTGCAAAACTATTGCCCCTTACCTGGAGAGACTCCATGTGTCCTGCCAGTCAGTGTCCCGGGCTGGATTAGTCAGCATTGCCAGTCGGTCAGCTGAGTAAACAGAGTCCAATTGTTTGGCAGTGTTGATGTACCTGAGTTCTTATGCTTTGACTAGGGAAATTATATTCAGTTGGTAAATTTGGAAAAAACTCAAACAAATCAGCAAATTAAAAACAATATTCTTTGTTTCTCTTGAATATTTTGGACCATTTGGCTTCTATTTTCATTTGCCGAGACTGAGTCACAAGTTTAGTTAGAGTTTATAGTTCTAAGTATGACTCAACAGAGTCAGCTTTTTCAAATGTGAATAATTATCATGGACTTAAATAGCAAAGATTTTAAAAAGAGTCCTTTCTATAAGCGATTCAGAGTAGATGTAAGTCAGAATTTCTTACCCTGTAGTTTTAACCTTTTGGGTAGAGGACATATATAGATATTAAACTGATGAGAACAGATACTACACTTGATCGTAGCCAAAAGGCTGAGAAGCGATTAATTTTAATCTTTTGGAATAAAAGCTGTATACTGTAGGTTATTTTGTTAGATTTCTTTGGCTTCCTGTTTTCAGAGGAACTAAAAAGAGAGGAACAGCCTATTTCTGGCTTTACTGAAGCCCTTTAACAATCCTTGGTGGTTTTAAAAATCCCCAAATACAAAGAAATAAAGAGGTTCAGTTTGAGTTTATAGTAAAAGCTGAGGAGAAGGATAAAGATCCTATAATAGGTGTCTCTACAGCAGATGAGACTTCCTGGGAGAAGACTTTCCTGGCATCGAATCTGGGTTTGGGATTAATGGGGTTGATTGTGGAGGGCAGGGAGGTTGGTATAGATATTAGAGGAATTGGGGAGAGTGGATGCCTTTACCCAATTCTTTCTAATTAGTTGCTACCATTTTACTTGGAGGAATGAAACTGAAGACAGAGATTTCAGTGAGATACAGAGCAGACATTTTGATGAACAGGCAAAGTAAGTGTGTGTGTGTGTGTGTGTGTGTGTGTGTGTGTGAGAGAGAGAGAGAGAGAGAGACAGAGAGAGAGAGATAGAGAGAGGAAGAGAGAGAATGGGCCTCATGGTGGGCTTGTGTGTTCAAATTGGAGAGCAGAAATAAATTGCTCACAAAATCAAATTACAGAATCAAAACATGATGGATAACAATAGCTTTCATTTATTAAGTGATTACCATATGCCAGACACTGCTAAGCACTTTGCGTGTATTATCTCATTTTAACCTTACAAAAACCTTGTGAGGTAGGTTCCAATATTACCAGCATTTTATAATTGAGGGAACTGTCACAAACATACCAGGTAACTTGTTCAAGATTGCAGATGACAGAAGTGGATTGGAACTAAAGGAGTTTTGCTTCAGAGCCTGTGGCCACCGCAATATAGTGAGAGAGACAGATAAGTACCCAGGTACGGGGTAGTTAACAAAAATTTTAATGGAACTTTTCAAACACACCCTGGAGTAAAGAGAATAGTGTAATAATTCCCATCACCCAGCTTTGATGATTTTCCATATTTTTCCAGATTTGTTTGTCTAGTTTTCCCACTTGATCCATAAGTATTTAGAGCAAATTCCAAAATTTTAACCTTCTTTAATCTTTTAACCTGTCATTTCATAGCAAGTAAAAATTTTAATGTAATTGAAAATATTAACGTGAACACAAAAATGCAGCTGTCTGCGGGAGATTATGAGTTGCCATGGTAGCATGCAAACGCCCATATGGCCACTATTAGTATGCGCACCTACTACGGCCATAAGAGACATGCCCCAGCCACACGCTACAAACGTTTGGTTTGCTTGGCATGTACGTCCCTCTTTTTAGAAGGATGCATCAGACTCTCAGAGGTGAATTCATTAAACCATCTCCCTTTCCTCTGAATGCATGTCAAAAAGAAATCTAAAATTTTGATTTGCTGGGCAGCTTTGCCTGAAGGAAAATACTGGGCTGGCCTGGCCTATAGACATTTTCAGCTAGTCTGGGAGCTTTGTGTATTGCAGTTTCTGGGGGACTTGTGAGCATGACTTAGCATCCTTGAATTTTGAGAACTGTAGAGAGAGGGATAGCAAGTTTGAGTTTCCAGTCTACAAGCCCACAGGCCAGCCTGGAGGCAGTGGGAGTTTGTTGCATCTCCCGCCTGGTCTTTATCAATTTCCCTTTGCTGCCCTAACTCAGTAGCCTCAGTGCTTCTTTGCATCCTCTTCCATCAAGCTGCTTTCATCTTTTTATTTTAAAGAGAAATGATTTATTAGGAATGTATTAATAACATGTCCTTTTGATTGTACTAGTATTTATATTGAAATTGCTATTTGTAAGTGCTCTGATCACAAATTTGCATAGGTTGATTGGTCTGCACTTAGTTCTGTATTCCAATGGGGGAAAAGTATCAGAACTGTGTGTCTCGCTCTTTTTCTCTCTCTGATAGATAGAAAGATAGATCCATATTTTTTCATTGTTTAAATTGTGGTATAATTAATATAACCTAAGATTTGCCATTTTAACCATTTTTAAGTGTATGATCCTTATTGTAATTATAGAAAACCCTAAGGTAGAATTCCAGTTTCTCAAATAGTAGGATAAATTCAAATATGCATTACCTTAATGTTATACAAATTCCAATTGTCAAAATCCAAGTATGTTTGAGAAAATACCTAGAGTATATTAAGATAAAATAGAATTAGATACACAGTTACTGGAAAAATGTCAGATATGTCTAGAAAGATCAAATGGAAACTCTGCTGGGTATTAAGGGTGGAATGGTGTTGGCAGATCATTATTTGTTTAAATATAGTTTAATTTGCATAATTTTTAGCTTCTAACAAATATGTTCACACTATTATTTTGTCTTTCTGTCATCAAACATCAAACATATTAAAGCAAAATATTCATATGCAATTCTTCAAATTTTACCAATAGGAGATGAATAATTTTCATGAAGTATTTTTTAATTGATTGGATTGTGCTTTTTTTGTTTTAGACAGGGTCTTGTTTTGTCACCTGGGCTAGAGTGTAGTGGCATCATCATGGCTCACTGCAACCTCAAATTCCTGGGCTTGAGCAATCCTCCTGCCTCAGCCTCTCAAGTAGCTGGGACTATAGGCGCACCACCAAGCCCAGCTAATTTTTTTATTTTTTTAGAAATGGGGTCTCGCTCTTGCTCAGGTTGGTCTCGAACTCCTGGCCTCAAGCAGTCATCCTGCCTGGGCCTCCCAAAGTGCTGGGATTACAGGGGAGAGCCACCACGCCTGGCCTGGAGTGTGTTCTTTCAAACAGGTAATTCTTTAGGAGTCCATGAGTCCACATCATTTTTATTTCAACAAACTTTTAAGGGTGTATGAATCACAACACTTCAAACTCCTTTTGGGGGAAAATATTCTTGTGGACAGAAATTATCTCCCACATTTAAATTACAGTTTTGCATGATTTTCTATGTATTTGGTATCTACTACTTGAATAGGAAGCCTGATTTTTTTTTTTTTTAGACAGGGTCTCGCTCTGTCGCCCAGGCTGGAGTGCAGTGGCATGATCATAGCTCAGTGCAGCCTCAAACTCCTAGGCTTAAGCGACCCTCCCAGCTCAGCCTTTTGAGTAGCTGGGACTACAGGCATGAACCACCACATTCAGGTGATTTTTAAAAATTTTTTGTAGAGACAGGATCTCACTATGTTACTGAGGCTAGTCTCAAACTCCTGGCTTCAAGTAACATTCCTGCCTCAGTCTCCCAAAATTCTGGGATTACATGAATGAGTCAGCACACCTGGCTGGAAGCTTGATTTTAAATACGAATAGTTCTACCTGACTTGCCTTGTGCAATCTAAGTTTACTCTGAGGACAGAGTAACAACATTTTAATAATTTCTCTTTACTCAAAAATTAAGGCACCTACAGTAGAAGGTTAACTGTCCCAAGGAAGAGTTTTTTTTGTGTTTGTTTTTTCTGTGTGTTTTTTAAACCCATTTTATTTAATTGAGGTGAAATTGACATAACGTAAATTAACCATTTTTAAATGAATGATCCAGTGGCGTTTAGTACATTCACAGTGCCATGCAATCATCATCTCTGTCTAGTTCCAACATATTTCCAGCACCCCAGAAGGAAACCTCATATACATTGAGCAGTTGCTCCTCCATTTCCCAGTCCCCACAGCCCTAGCAACCACCAGTTGGCATGATGTCTCTGTCTATGGATATCTTTACGTAAATTGAACCATATAATACGTGACCTTTTGTGTCTGGCTTTTTTCACTTACCATGATGTTTTTGAAGTTCATCTATGCTATCAGTATTCCCAGGGAGGAGTTTTTAATCATTTTAATGTGGATGAGACTGCCTCTATTTGTGGACAGAGTTTCCTGAAACTTATTTCTAGAATGTTCCTTCTGAAGAGCAGAAGGCTTAAATGATAATGCCTGGAGGACTTCATCTTATGTTGAAGAAATCTGAGAAAAGAATTGCTGGCATTTCCAGAGGGTGGAAATCCTGTGCTTGTGTCGCTCCCCACTGGGATGGAGTTAGGAGCAGGGGTTGCCAGGCAGTGGCTGCCATGATGCACCAGGCAGACCCTCCCTCAGGAAGGAAGGGGTTATTAGGCAAGCTGCGGGGAGTGCTGCCAGCAGACAGCCCCCTTCCGGGACAACCTCAGCTGAAGAGAGCTGCCTCAGCCAAGGCCATGTTCCCTTCTCAGGTGGCCCTCACGCAGAGACTGATTATCGTGGCGAGGATATTAAGGGCCAGTTCTCCTGCACCAACTTAGAACAGCTCTGAATTTTCATTGTCATTGACTGAGGCCCAATCCTGCTTCCTTTTCTTCCCTTCTTTTCCACAGGTGTTGATTCCATGAGCACTGCCTAATAAATCTCCTGTACCTCCATCTCAGAGTCGCCTTCCCTGAGAACCCAATCTACGATACCAGATTTTTTACATGGTTACATGAGGTGCTCCAGAGAAGGAACAAAGGTCTGCACCTCTTCTAAGTTGAGACGCTTTGCTCTTTTGCTACTGGAGGCTGTCTGTGGGTGCTAGAGGTCTTCTCTCCTGGTTTTACAATTTTTTAAGGTCTTTAAATCAACCTCTTCTGGGTATTGGTGGGGTGGCAATTAAGGATTTTGCCTTTATTTGTAAGCTTTACGATCCTACAAAAACCATTCTCCTATCTGGCCAAGATGTGCATTTTCACACATTCTCTTATATTTTCAAGGACATCATGGTGCCAGGAACCAGGAAAGGCATATACTCAAATTTTGGGTCAAATTGGTATACCAGTTCATCTTCATAATCCATTTTCTATAAGCAAGAAACCATATTTGTTTAACATCAACTGTGCAGGGACAGCTCTCTCCTGGACTAAGGAACACTCATGATTAGTCAAAGGACCCTAGGGACAAAAAATAGGGCGCCTAGTCTTCTTATGGGGAATATAGGAAAGATGTAAGAGATGAGGAGGGGTGGCTCAGTTTACCATCCCTACCCGAAGCGACAAGGCCTTTCTAAACTGAAAACAACTCAGAACCAGAGCTCATAGAGAGAAGACTCTGGGAGGCTCAGCCTGGGGAGGGAGAGTGGAGCTTCCAGATGCATCTTAAAACCTCACAAAGCTGTTGAAAGGGGCATTCGTGGCATATACTTCAAAGAGGCCTCCACTTTGGTTTAGCAAAACATTTAAGCATTTATCAGTTTGAGAGTTCGACCTGTCCCCTGGTCTTGGTACTGGCATGTAGTGCTGTGCTGTCATGGGGGCCGACTGCCATCTTCCTCTAGCAAAGGCTCACTGGCAACGCTTTTTGGGGACCAGCCTCTCTCCCTCCCACTTCACCGTCTCTGTTCCATCTTCTCCCCATTCCCTGCTCCTCACATTGAGTATGAGCACTCCTCACACTTCTCTTCCATTACCACCCAGAACGATAAAGTTCTCTTTCTCTCCCTCCTAGCCCATTTATCCGAGGGAATTTTCACATAGCCAAAATGGTCCACCAATGCATTTCACCAAATAAAAGACCATTCTTTCTTCAGGAAGTATTTGTACCTCCACCTTTTATTCTGTGTTGTCAAGCTGTTTCCAAGATAGATTTATTGAAATAGATAAAAGGCAAAATAAATAAATAATAAAATTTTAAAACAAAACCAAAACAATTCTAATCATTTGTTTAAATTACTTCCTTTATATTATTTAAGAAATATGTGTGATGGCTATATGTCTTTCCATGGTTTTCAGGCTACTAAATCAAATACCAGTGCTTAGTATGATTAAATGAAATAGTAATACAATAATCAATGATATTTAGCACAGGTAGCCAAGAGGAGAGAGGACTTATTGCTCAGTTTAGCAGTGCCCTGAAGGGGCCTACAGCTAGTTTAAATTTCCCATTTAAATATTACTATGGCCCTTTAAGCTCTAAGCCCACATAGGTATTATAGCTGTAGCAACTTTCTATTTGTTGAGTGAGAGAAATCTCTCTTTTTTAAAATTTAAAGATGGGGGTCTCGCTATGTTGCCCAGGCTGGCCTTGAATTCCTGAGCTCAGGTGATGCTCCCACCCCTACTTTTGGGGTAGCTGGGATTACAGACACGCTTTCTAATCATTTCAGATCCTTAGCTCTGTGTCTCAAGAAATTGCAGTCATTTACAATTGAAGGCCAGGAGGTGGCAGCACAGAGAATTATAGGAAAGTTTGTATTATTTAATATAACTTTTGAGGGGAAGTTTACTTGGTATTTTCACTTGTGTAGAACTTGCCTGGAAGAGTTGCAGAGTTCTGGCCTGTTTATGTATCTCTACGAGTATTATGGAGAAAGAAGAAATATAAAGGAATGGCAAACTAGAAACCCACAGGTGTAAATTTGGTTATCTATTAACACTCGGATTGGTAGGATCTGGACTTAAAGTTGAGCAAGGCTTCCGGGGACTTTCACAGCAAATACGAATGATGCTGTGTTTCACCTATTATAGTTCTTGATGCATGTTTTCTCCTATTTTGTAACTTTGTGTCACTTACATATAGCAGGTGCTTCAGGTGCTTAATGAATGCTTGCTAGAGTTTAACTGAACTAGGAGGAGGTATGGCATGACAGGTGGGTCCAGGCTTATGTTTAATTTTGGTTAGGTATACTATGGAGAGACTTTGGAGAACATAAAATACTCGGGATTGTAGGGAGGCTGGTCTTCCAGAGGTGAAAAGCAGTCAGATTCCATATCTCATCTCTAGAGCTGGAATTGAGACTGTTTTGGGTATCTGAGAAGTGTCTGTCATGGCAGGATAGTTGGCTGTGACAGTAGGGGTTAGATATAGGAGTATAGTTAGATATGGGGACATAATTAGAATGGGAATATTGTTAGATGTAGCACTATAGTTAGCTATGGGAATGGTTAGATACAGCAGTTAGCTGTGGGCATAAAGCTAGATAGGACAGTATAGTGGGCTATGGCAGTGTAGTTAGTTATGGGAATATAGTTAGCTATGGGAGTATAGTCAGCTATGGTGGTATAATTAGTTAATCACAGGGAGGATGAGGGTGAGTTAAAGAAGAACATACTGTAAGAACCAAAAGGGATGGGTTCCTTAAGGCACAGATGAACCCAGAACATTTGAGTTTCACAATTTTCTGGTTTATGCTCTGGGTAGATTTGCTCTGGGTAGCACTCTGAGGATGAGTACTGTTTATTCTTCATCTTTGTATTCCACAAGGGGCTGAGCACAGTGCCATGCTTATCGACACTCAATTAGTATTTGTGCAGTTGACTAGTTCCAGGTAGTCACAGTCGGCTAGGGAAGGCGATGGGGTGGATCTGACTCGGATACATACACTTTACTAGCAACTGCAGCTAACATGTGTGCAGTGCTTCCCATTCCCCATCAAACCGTGCTCCGTGCTTTACGTCGATTGTTTCACCTGATCCTGACTGCAGCCACATGGAGGCACTGTGATGCCAAGGCCCAGAACTGCCCTGCCAGCGTTCTCAAACTTGGCAGGCCTGGGAGTTTCTGAGCCTGAGGAGCAGGTGAGCTGACCAGGGGGAGGAGAGGGAAGGGCGTGGGGTACGCCTTGTAAGGAGGCGCTCACTTTCGGGGCTGTGCAATCGCAGGGACGGCCCCAAGGGTAAGTGCCTCCTTGCATGGTACATCCTAGGCCCCTCATTTGTCTCACCCTCATCCCTGCCCTGCTTGGGAGCCTTTTAAAATCGCAGATGCTGGGGCCCCCACCCCAGAACTTACAATTCAGAAGATCTCAAGTAGGGTCTGGGAATCTGCAGCTTCAGGAAGCTTCCCCAGGGATTCTACTGCGGGTGTTATGGATCCTCACCCTTTAAGAAACTCCGCTCCCGCCCAAATTCTCATATGAGAATTTCTTTACTTTCAATGAAATAATTTCTCTCTTTATGCTTGGTTTGGGGAGTAGATGTTGCCGAACTCATCGATTCACTATCCGAATGTTTAGGGGATGCAGTGGGATTCTGAAGTTACTCTTGTAGAGAGCTCCTGTAGTGTGTGACGCTGGGCTTTTGGCCTGACAGAACTGTGGACTGGCTATTCCTTGTGGGCTCCTTTCTGTCCATTCCAGATGGCGGAGCTCCTTGGACACACACAGCATGTTTGAACCAGCGTGTCAGCAGCTACCATGTCCAAGTGTAGTGGATGTGTATTGTTTTAGCCTTGCCAGCGTCCATTCCCCTTTTTGTGCTTCTGGTTGATTTTCCTTAGGATACTAGTCCACTTCCATTCTTAGTCCAAGTGGCTTACCTTTCCTGTCTCCCCAATTCCTCTTCACTTGAGCTCTGCAAGTGTGTGCATGAGACTAGAAACTGCTAGGCAGATGTATTCCCTCCCTCCAAACAGAGCAACTGGTTCCATTTCAAGCCAATGAGAGTCAGGCCTGGGCCTGTTGATCACCTGACTTGGAAGAAGCTGTTCTCTTCGTGCTGGGACTACTAGCAGAAAACAGGGTGCATCCATGTGGCCTGAAAATGCCATAACTCAGGGCCCAGAGATGAAAAGAAACCAACCTTTATTTTATCTTTCGAGTGTCTGAATCAAGTTATGTCTAAATCTAGCATTACTTCTGAATCTTCCAATTACTTGAGACAATAAGTTTTCTCTTATACTTAAACTAGTTTGAGTGATGTTTTTGTCATTATTCATTAGGAGCTGATTAATATTCAGAGGATAACTGTCACAAATATCTAGACGAAAAGGTGTTAGATGGAGCTGACACGCAGCAGCTCTAGAGCCCCTTCGTGGAAAGGCTGAAAGAATCAAGCTTTCTTGAAGAAGAACATATTGGTATGTACGGTACCTCTTCTAGCCCACCTCGTGAGTTTTATTTTCTCCCAGGGAGAAAGTATTTTCTTCTTTTGAAAGAGCAGAACTATTCCTAAGTATGCAGTTGTCTAGAAAAGAATCTCTACTGAATTTTGAGGAGAGCTAAGATATTTGGCTTGAAACTGAAGAACAAGCAAAGACTACGATTACTAAGGTTTTCTCAGAGTATATATTCAGGGGGAGGGAGGGAAGTGAAATCAACCAGCAGACACCAAATAAAAACAGTTTCAAAATTTAGAAAGTAGTTTGCATTATGAAAAAAGAGTGGTAGTCCTACCACAGAGTGGTAGGACTGAAGGGTTCTCTGATAGCAGATATTGTCTATTTCTCTTCAGGGAGGAAAAGCCAGGCAAAGAAACAGAAATAAATACGTCACCGACTAAAGCAAACTTTGGTGTGTTGTACCCCGCCTAAAAGAGGCTGTGTTCTTTCATGTTCTTTCACGATTAGTTCTCTTGTGACAATTACCCTTGTCCTGCCTCTTAACCCACTTCGGGTGGACTGTATGGGGTTAGTTCTGAAAGCAATGGAATCTGACCCTGGTTAACTTAAACAAAAAAAGAAAAAAATAGTATTGATGGATGAGTTATGGAGTAACAGACTGATGGAAAACTAAACAGCTCGAACAACTAGACCTTGGGAAACGAGGAGCAGGAAAGCTCCAGACATTGCATCTAGACAGCAATTGCGGTTGGGCCTGCTCTTCAAGATCCTGTCCCTAAAGTAATTCGTATTTCAACTCCAGCCATTTCCCATCTTTGAGTCTTTGCTCTTAAGATGCAAATTGCATAAAGAGTGTTCAATTGGCCCATCTTGGTCATTACGCCTATCCCTTGTTGTAGGTTAGGGAGCAAGGGATGCGGGCGTAACTTCATTGTTATGGCCAACCCATGGAATTGATGGGGTGGGGGGGCTGTTCCTGAAAAGAAAACAAAGTACTGTTACCAAAAGACAGGGTGAGGGATACTGCAGAGGCAGAAATAAGAGACCCCATGGGGACCCTTGCCTGGCTTTTACTTTGGTGACACTGGTCATGCCACTCCCTGGTGCAAATTCTACGGTGATGTGAGGCATGTTGGCTTTCCATTTTGGGTTGCTTGGGGTGAATGATGGTGCTGAAGTTGGTGTGGTTTCAGAAGATCTCTGTTTTTCTCTAAGGAAGACAGCGGTCTTTAGCTTTTCTCTACTGGATTTGGGCAGTTCATAAATAGACCTTTCAGAAATTAAATATAACTTTCATGCAAACACTAAGTTGCTCTTTTTCTGTTTTCTTACATTCATTCAGCATGTTTATTAAGTGCCCACTATGTCCCTGCATTGTTCTAGGTGTCGTGGTACAGCATATCATTCTATTTATTGAGTCTCTACTATGGGTCTACACTGTTCTAGGTGTTGCAGATATTGCAAAGAACAAAACAAAGTCCCGGCCTTCGAGAATGGAACCTACATTCTAGTTCACCAATGTATCCCCAGTACTTGGGCTCAATAAATACTTGTGGAATTAATAGCTGAATGACCCCAGCTCATGCTATGTTGCTCCAAGCATAGCTTTTTCAGTGGAATGTGTTAATGATTTGGCATTAGAGCTTAAATTTTTTGATTTTCTAGTTTTTCCTCCCTGTATATGCTTTTCCTTCAACTCTCAGAAGTTGTCAATAAATTCTTAAAGAGAGGGGACTCCAAACTATGCTAGTTGTTTTCAAATCGGACTCTAGGGTTTTCCCTACCATGGGGAAATCTGAAAATAGAAGCCAGCAGTTCAGCCTTGAAAACAAGCAGCTGATGGCTTGTGAGTCACTGGTTGCCCCTGGGGATTGCCTACTCACCCAACATCAGGTGCCCAGGGGCTCTTGGGAAATGTCAGATGCTGCTGTGTGGTTGGCAGTGTTGGTGTCAACTCAGGCAGTAGAAACCATCTAGCACTACTCTAAAAAAAAAAGGGAAGCTTGCTGCTTTCCTGCAAATGATGTCAGAAATAGGAAATGGGATTGCCAAAACGTGGGCTCAGCTACCGCATTTGAATGTGAAACTGGAGGGTTTGGTCATGTTGTTATTCCTATCAAAGGTCCAACTTATCAACAGGGAAATACGAAGGTATTCAACTTCTGGGAAGATAAACACTATGAAAAACTCTGATATAATCCCTAGAACACGAATGAAAAGAATACTTGCATCAGTTAACAATGAAGTAGTACTATACATACTTACAAGGATCGATCTCCAAGACAATATGTGGAAAAAGCTTGCAGGTAGGTGCGTATATACCTTTAAGATGAAAATAAAACAAAACTTATTACTAATAATAACAACATACACAATAACACTACATCACAGGGACACATATGTGTATATGTGTCCAGAAAAAGGTTTGTACCATATTGATAAATAAAAGTTACCCTCGGGAAGGTAGAAAGGGCCTTAGGATTGTGGATAGTCATCAGGGGGAACTTTAATTGTAATGCTTCAATTTTTTAGGTGAACATTTTATTTAGAAGTTTTTAAAACTTAAAATTAATTAAAAAAGAAAAATATTAATAACTGTTAGTAACCCTAGACATGATGCTTAGTAAGGTAGGGCAAGTTTGTTAAATAGACATGATTCTATGGCTTTCTATAAATATTCTGTCTGAAACAGACCACATAAAAGATGCCCACACATTGCAGAGGTACAAATGTAAAAAGAAATATTATCATATGCAAACTGAGTAGTTTTGGAGCAGACAATTTTTCCAACAGGCCTATATTATTTAGATTTATTTATTTATTTTTTTTGAGACAGAGTCTCACTCTTTTGCCTGGGCTAGAGTGCCGTGGCATCAGCCTAGCTCACAGCAATCTCAAACTCCTGGGCTCAAGCAATCCTTCTGCCTCAGCCTCCCAAGTAGCCGGGACTACAGGCATGCGCCACCATGCCTGGCTAATTTTTCTACATATTTTTAGTTGTTCAGCTAATTTCCTTCTATTTTTAGTAGAGACGGGGTCTCGCTCTTGCTCAGGCTGGTCTTGAACTCCTGACCTTGAGCGATCCTCCCGCCTCGGCCTCCCAGAGTGCTAGGATTACAGGCGTGAGCCCCCATGCCCGGCCTATTTAGATTTTTGATCAATAGTTTTGAATTCTGATATTTCTACAGGGCTTTATGGTTTTTAAACTATCTCACTTGAGTCTCACAACTGTGCCTAATCGGGAGAGACTTGTCATCTCCATTTCACAGATTATAAAAATTGAGGTTCAGGAAAATTAAATGACTTGTCTGAAATCCAAGTTAATAATGAGGCAGAGCACCTATATTTTCCAGGAGCTGCATACTTTATCTAATTTCTCCATTCTCAACAAATCCAACTCCAATAGTTAATAGTAGCTGTCAGACCCTAGATTTCATCTTGTTGGAGTTGAGTTCACATGTTGGCAGTCCTCTTTATCCACTTTCTACTTGAAGCCAGGTGGATTGACTCAAAATCCAAAATCCAATTTCAGAACATAGTCATTTGTACCCAAGGAAATTTTACAGCCAGTAGGAAGTTTGCTTTCTACAGCAACACTCAGCCTCCATGCTGGCACCGGTTGCAAGTGATAAACGACATGGTGCTGTCTGGTGACAGCTGGTACTCTGTCACGTCCTGTTAATGTTTCACGATGGATCCATATCCTGTCTCCTCAGCTAAGTCAGAGGCCACAGGGACCTTCTGTTATTTTCTCTTACCCCTCAGTAGCCTCTCAGTGAACATGCACTTGATGAGTCCCTTCAGCCTCGTACTGTAGCCAGAGCAGGACGTATCTATGTGAAGTGACACACTTTTAAAAATAATACACCGCCCATGAGAATCAACACTTCTGAAAATAAACTCTCTCTCTTCCTCCTCACCCCTCCAAATCTGCTCCTCCCATACCCTTCCACCTCGGTCAGTGGCAATTCAAACTTCACAGCTTGTAAACCCAAAACCATCAAGTCAACCTTCTTTCTTTCACGTCCTCCTTACGATCCTTTGTCAAATCTTGTTGGCTCTACCTTCAATCAAATTCCATCCAGAGCCCAGCCATTTATTACCATCTTGACTGCCACCACCCTGGTCTAAACCACTGTCGCTTCTCACCTGGATCGTCAGAGTGGCCTCCATATGCATTGCCCTAAAACAGCCTTTGGCATCCAGTTTCTTGTCTAGACAGCAGCCAGTGGATCCTATTGCCATCTGGGTCAGACCATATCGCTCCCTCTACTCAAAAACCTCCAAAGGTTTGCTCAGCTCACGTGAACCACATCCAGAGTCCTTGCAATGTCCTATAAGGTCCTGTATTCCACCATCTCCTACAACTCTTTCCCAGGCCCCTTCTCTATAGAGCCCCTCCAGTCCATACTCTTTCTCAGGTACCCTATAGTTTATTCTCTCTCTTCTGGGATTTTCCACATAATCTTCACTCTACCCGAAATACCCTTCCCCCGGTATCCTTGCTAGCTTACTCATCTCTTATCTTTGCTTAAATGTCACAGTCTCAGGGAGGCCATCCTCTGACCATGCCATTTAAAAGTGCAGGCACCATTCTTCCCCTCCCCTCCCAACACACACACACACACACACACACACACACACACCTTCCTGACACTTATCTCTTCCCCTGCCTTATTTTTCTCCATAGTACATAGCATCTTCTCACACACTAAATAATGCACTCAGGTTTTTTTTTTTTTGTCTAACTCTTACACTAGAATGTTTGCTCCACGAGAATAAGGATTTGTGTTTGTTTTGTTTATTGCTGTATCCCAGCTCTCAGAACAGACCTGCTACAAAACAAATGCTCAATAAATATTTGTTGAATAAATCAGATTGGCAAAGACAAAAAATTAGATTGCACCTTATTTTGGTGAGGGTATAGGGAAATCGATACGTTCGTATCAATTGCAATCGTTGCAGGTCAGAGTCTAAATGGGGATTATCTCTTTGGAGAACAATTTGGCAAGATCCATCAAAATTGAATGCTATGATCCAGCATTCAACTGCCAAGCATTTATTCAATGTCTCTTGTAGATTGTCCAGATACATTGGTTCAAGGATGTTCATGGCAGCATTATCTTAATAACAAAAGGCTGGAGTCAGCCTAAATGTCCATCAGTAGGGATCTCATTAAATAACATGTGGGCATCCCCAACTGCATAGCATGCAACTGTTGAAAGGAGAGAGGAAGATACCCTGGTACTGATATGGTACAGCCTCCGTGATATACGGAGTCAAACATGCCAGATGCAGGATCTGTGGGATATGCCACTGTTTGAGTAAAAAAGGAGGAAGATATGTACATATATTTACAAGTTTGTATAAGCTCAAATAAATACATCTCTATATAAACAAACATATAAATAAACACATAAATAGCTCTGGAAATTCACAAGTGGTTACCGTTTTAGAGGGGGCTAGTCAAGGACTGGGAGGTTTGAAAACAATTTTTCAAATCATTGTGAATATATTACTTAAAAATAACCCACCTCCATAACGCCTTAATCCATACTCTTTTGCTTTTACTCCGTGTGAAGCTGACCTGTTAAAAATACGCCTTAAACCCTGCTTTGAAGGCGTGTGGAGGTTGGGGAGGACCTTTTATTTCCTTGCGTAGTGAATCCCATAAAAGGTATGAGTAGATTCAGCCCGACCTCGTGCTCTGCGGCCCGAGGGCTTTCCCGTCCCTGCCCGCCCCCAGCCCGGTTGCCAGCCGTGGGTGCCCTGGGATTTTGCGGTCTGGCTGGCGTCCCCGCCTCCCCCTTAGAGGGCAGCAGCGGGGCGCCTCGGGGACGCATGCGCCCCAATTTGCACTCGGGGAATTAAAAGAGGGGGGAAAAGCCCCGGAAAAACCCAAGCCCCAAACAAAACGCAAGCGAAGGGCTCGCGGCCTGCAGCCCTCGCCCGCGTCCCCGGCCACAGCGGGATGCGCACGGACCGGCCGGCGACGCCCGGGCCGTCACTGTCCCCGCACCTGGACGCCGGCCCGGTGGCCGCGCCCCAGCCGCGATCGCTCGCAGCGGCAGCTTGCTCCGAGGCTCCCGCCGCCGGTCGGGCCCTCGCTCTCCATGGGGCTGAGGGACTGGCTGAGGATCGTGTGCTGCTGCTGCCCGTGCAAGTGCCTGGAGGAGTCCGGCCTGCCCGAGAAGGAGCCCCTGGTCAGGTGGGTGCGCCGCCGGGCGAGAGCCGGGGCCACCTGGCCGCAGCCGGGCGTCGCGGAGTGCGGGCACCTGTGCCTGCCGGAGGTGGGGAGATGGGCCTGCTGTAAGGGCACACTGAGGCGCCGGCTCAGCCCCTGGGTCCCTTACGTACAGGATATCGTGGGTTTGTTCCCTGGGTAAGACTTTTGCCTCCAAGCACAAATCCTCAGAGGCACCTGAGACCCAGTTGGATGCCTGTGGACGGTGCCAAGAGTTCAGGTGCAGCGCCTGGGCGGGGAAGTAGGGAGAAGTTTCCGCAGGGGGCCGGTGTATTATTGTGGATTAGGCGACTGAGGATTTCTGTTTCACTCAGCAGGAAAGTTGGATACTTCTCATTCAATTTTGTGACCAAAAGAAGCCCGTTTCAGTGACTGAG